AGGGGGGGGGGGGGGTCAGAGAAACATTACATTATCCCAGAATTACAAAGTTCTGCTAGCTCAGAGCCTAGTTTTGAGAAATTTGACGTCAAATTAATTTTTTTTCACAACACGTCAAGCTTTCTCGAATGCAATTCTGTGAATAACTTGATAAAGACTCCGAATAATCTTACGATTTTCATAGAGCAAAATGATAGAACATTTTGGTTTCAGATCCCATGGTTTAAGTGATTCATAACGGCCAAAAATGTCAGATAACATTTTGTAATTCTAAGTTAGCAATCAAGAAGAACATTTACATTTAAGAGGCGACACAACTTACCAGAGAAAGACGTTTATTTGCTTCTCTCCTCTACACCGGAAGGTAATAATATTATACTCATCATGGCGATCAAATAAGAAAAGGCACTACTTTTTGATTGTGTATAAAATATTATAGTATTTCGATCATTAACACTTTTTCCTTTCGCATGAGAATACTGATCGTAGCCTAGGAAATAGGTCATCATGCGATAAAAATAAACATGTGGTGCTTCCAATAGGGTTCCTATAAAAAAAAATTATAGAAAATTGGCATTTTTTCCCGACCACATGGCGGATTTTTTTCGATTCTTTAAAGTGTAGTTGTTTTGTTTTATTACCGTGACACCATTCTTCACGTGATCGGGGAAGGCAAAGAACTACACCCAAGAAAGGCAGAAGATTTAACTCAACATCTGATAAATCGAGCCACCGACATGCTCCGCGCATTTCTGCTGTTGCTAGAACATTCAAATTCAGTAGTAGATTTTTGTTGTTGTTGTCGTTCTTGTTGTTGTTGTTGTTGTTGTTGTTGTTGTTGTTGTTGTTGTTGTTGTTGTTTTATAACCTTTATATCATGGCCAACGTTTAAGACTACTTAGTACCACCTTGTATTACTCACATGAAAGGAAAAGAATCGTAAAAGCTCATAAGACTACATTTTATTAGGCAATCAAAATACAAGTAGGTCGCTACCCCATAAATACAAAGTTCTATCTGACATTTTCGCCAGCATAGAGGCCAGACAGAGATAGAAAATAAAAATAAGTAAAAGTAAGTACTGTAAAAAATAACACAGCGATGCTCAATTCTAAATCAGAAACGTTCAGCAAACTTACCCGTACGAGATGAACCTCATGGCTACAGTGTCCTAGTGCCTATGTCCCAGTATGTCTCAGTGCGTGTCCGCGCGTGGGTGCGTGCGCGTGTTCGTCCGCGGGCGTGTGTGTGTGTGAGGGTGTGTGAGTGTGTATGGTGTGTGCATATGTGTGTCTTATTCACGTGTGTGTATGCGTTCGTGTGTACCCGCGCGCGTATAATAAATATGTGTACAAGTGCAACAACGCGCGCGTGTTTGTCCGCACGTGTGCGTGTGCCCAAGTGTGTGTACGAATGTGCCCGTGCGCTCGCGAACACGTTCGCGCGCGCGCGTGTGTGTGTGTGTGTGTATCTAATGGACCGACCAGTGACCCCCCTGATCGACTGACAGGTCATCCACTAGATCTACCACTTATCTGGCAATATCTGGCCATCTGATTGACCAGCTGACCATCGCCAGACTGCACTCTACACCTGGTCCTAGGCGATCATGACCGTCTAGACCTGGTCCCATCGCCTCACGGAGAGGTGGAGAGAGAGCGCGCGCGCACACACACACACACACACACACACACACACACACACACACCTACACACACACACACACCTACAAACATACACACATACCCCCTCCTCCCCCCCCCCACACACACAGCATCTCCTGAGTCCCCTTATCAAAACTTGATGAGCACATAGATTTACCGTAAACCCTCCACAATGGTGACACGTTATGCTACAAAATTATTATGTTCGATCAGCAAAAGAAGCACTCAACGCCAATGATGTTGCGACACATTTTGAACCGCCCTACACTATAATCAGAAATGTGAGGCATCGTGGTGAAATCAGGCACTCATCAACACAATTAAATGAAAAGAAACGGGCATTTTTTTCTGGCCGTTGGGCTATCTTTTCTATAAAATCAATTTTTCCTAGCTGAATAGTAACGTTTATGTAGGGCCTATAATAACATATATTTGAAAACACAATCACCAAACGCTGGTTGCCATTTTCTCGCTAATTCTACTTCTGAAACAAGGTGACCCCAACCTCCTTCAAGCGCAAGTACCTCGACTTCATTTCAAGATAGATGGGTTGTTTGGTTTTGTTCTGTCTTTCTTTTTCTTTTACCAAAAGCAACCTAAAAGGACAAGATTTAAGATGACACCAATATGCCCCCCCCCCCCCAAAAAAAATTTTTTTTTAATTGAAAAGGCCCTGATTCCACCGCATCGAGACACAAATCAGAAATACAACCTTGCAAAATTCATAACGTGCATGTTTTTTGCCTGTCTTTTAAACCGAATTAATAGCGAGGTTTTAAGCCGAGCGCGACTTCAAATGACCAAAATGCGCATTATCAATGAGTGAAGACGGGAAACAAGATCACTAACGACTATGTTAATATTGGGTGAAAGCCTAAAATTGGATAGGACCTCATTGGTCAGTGCAGAAGCCACGAGTCATCATAACTCTCATTTCTTCTACTCGCTAAAAGAAACATTCTCCTCAGCAGATGCATGGGTCATCCTGCAGGCATCGACAGTGGTTAGGTGGCGGGTGCTCTGATGTGGTTTGCATCTTCTTTCCCATCATACGTGATCATCTTCCCCTCCCTCTCTCTCTCTCTCTCTCTCTCTCTCTCTCTCTCTCTCTCTCTCTCTCTCTCTCTCTCTCGCTCATCTTTGTTTATTTATTTGGTCTGGATTGGGGGGTTTTCGTGGGGGGGGGGGTTGCTTTTTCGTTGGTTTTGTTTTGCTCTGTTTAACTTTTTGTATGACACTCTCTTAATTGTTCCGCCTCTAATCTTTGGCACTTATGTGAACAGAGTTGCAACAGAGCACTCATATGACCTTACGCAGTTGCGAGCGCCGTAAAACCCTACACTACTACTAGAGTTGCAAGCGCAACAAAACTGAGACTTATACTGAACACATTGACAGAAGAACTAGAATTATTATCGATGTACTTTAATCTTCCCCTCAGAGTTAAAAACTATTCAGGCCAACCTCAGCCCCCACACTCACCGAGTGTTTACAGTAATTGCCAATTACTTTTTTTTACTTACCCGTGTCCGAAGCGCTCAGTCCCTGGGGCATTTGATGACGTCACCGCCATGTCGTCACGCTGTCACAAACTGGAGACGAAAACGTGCTATCCGACTCCTGCACACTGTACAGATCACCTGGTTTTGCTCCGAGATAGGATCTCGGCCATAGGCGAAGTCGACAAGTCCGCGATGAATGAAGGTGGCACAGATCACTGGTAATAATATAATTAGGATTCCCTCACGCTCTCAAGGAATTGGCGTGCCCTCACTGTAGGTTGTAAGAATGAAGCTGACTGGGTCTTTTTTTTTCTTTTTTTTTACTCCGTCTTGAAAACGACCTGCTAGTTTACGTATTGTGGGACTGAAATTCCGTTTCTTCTTGTAAGAATTTATAAGATTAGCGAATAAAGATTAGAATCTAGCCATGTAACCACACGAACAAAAATGTTCCGACAGGCTAAAAAGGATGAATGAACATACCAGGCAGATAGAAATTTGATAGTAAAAGATTTTTCGTCCTCATCGGCCCAGGTTGAAGTGTCTCCGAAAAGGATTACAGTCCTTGAAGAAACAAACTGACGATCACTGAAGCAAACACACAAAAAAAATCCGGAGGCGGCTCCAAGAAAAGAAGCTCAAAATATAATCCACACTTGTTCAAAACCGAGATGAATTCAGATTTAAGTGGAGGGTTCTAACCAAAGTACTCCGAAGCGCAGCCCAAAAAGTCGTGGAATAAGATCCTCACACACACACAAGAAAAAACAAACAACAAATTTAATCTATGCTAAACTCGATCTTCTTGAGACTCGAAACTTGAATTAGTGCGGAGATGAGCAGCTGTGACGTGTTGCTGTCCTCAGATTACAGAGACAGGGGCAGACCACACAAAACTTGGCTGGGTGGCGCCAAAATCAAACAGGAGGTCCTCCAACAGAATAAATTATCATCATAAAATCTCCAACAGAAACCGCCCACCTAGCTGTTCACCAAAAATTGAATATCCCCTCGACATCTGACTATACAAGAGGAAGGAAACAGGTCGGCCTGTTGGGTTGTTTTTTTTTGCTTGTTGTTGTTCTGGGGGTTTTTTTGCAGTTGATTGGTGTTTCTTTCTCTGTAGTCGGTTTTTTTGTATTGGTTTTCTGTTGCTGTTGGGTTTTTGGGGTTTTTTTGCGGGTAGGGGGGGGGGGTCTTTTGTGTTAAGGGGTTTTTTTTCCCTTTAAAAAAAAAATAAAAGTGAAGCCCTTCCTTCAATGTCTCAAAAAGCCTCCACACGCTGGCCAGAACAGGTCAACAGACAGGCACATCTACTTCCGCCCACATGTACGGATACAATCCACCGCCAGACTGTTCCCTGCACCAGTGGTACCTCTGCTGACGTCACATGTACGTCCGCTGACGTCACGCAGTTCTGACAGGCGTGACACAAGATGGCACCAGACGTAGGTCAATCCTTCAGCAACAGACACCAGTACCGGGTCACGTCATGGAAATGTCTACTCCGGAGGCTGGGAAATAATAATTTTAAAAATAATTATAACAATAATAATTAAAGTAATAATAATGATGACAATAATAACAAGAACAAC